ACAGTAATTGAAACTCAACAACCAAAAGAAAGCACTCATTTTGTTTCAAAATGCAATGGGCATCATTTTCACCGTTGTATCCTTAGAAAGAGCAAAGATAAGATGCGAAGCGTACAAGCAGCATCGACGAGTAACCGTTGCATCGAACCTTAATTAGATCGAGAATGACGTCAGTTCATTGACCGCTGATGTACGATGGCTCTCACTGAATGGTAAAGCGGGATCGTAAAAGAGAGCTTCTGAGGAAATGATTTTCTCTCTAGCATACAAGGGCTACTGTATCAAAAGGAAAGTCTGAGTGAGAAGAGAATGAAGGAACTATCATAAGCAGCTCAATTCACCTGACTGTGACTGGTGAATACCAGTCGATCAAGAAACCGATGCCTGCGGATAGGATTATGTCAATTTTACGGATTCATGTAGACCTCCAGGAGGCAAATCACGTCACTTAAATCTGGAGAAGTGACGAGAGATTTTTATTCTTTCTGGTGGTGTTGAAAACAGACCGTTTGCCAGCAAACCCAAAGTACCTAGATGATTTTCCGTATGATGTCATATGCAAAATCAAAGAAGCATTTCTGAAGTCAATCAGTCTCGATGAACGCTTATTATTTGAGCTCACGAAGGCAGACGCCTCAGAGATTGCCTTCAACGTGCCTGGTCCTGTGCCCGAGTTTGAGCTTTGCCAGAAGATAATTAGCTTCTGGAAAGAGTGCACCGAGACACTTGCCTCAGGTCATTCTTGGCCGTCTCCCGAGTGTTTGGCCAGGCGGTTGAGCTAGTTGAACCTGTTCTTTCTTTCTGAAGAACTGAATATTTATTAAAGACGAATTCATCGAGGTAAGATACTTCCAGCTGTGTAATTCCACATTGCGGTAGACTGTGTTTTAAAAGACCATCGCCTCGACGCATTGCTGAAGTATACCCCAAACCAACGACAGAGTTCAAAGTTCTCGACACCGAAACTTAGTGACTTTGAGTATTCGAATGACGTTGCTGAACGACTCCCCAAATCAAAAACTGATACTCATTGATAACGCCTACTGCATGGCTAGGAAAGTGAGGCTACAGGTCATTCTAAACTCATTTGCTGACAGAACGCGCCATGACAAAGAGCGGAACGTTACAAAAAAATATTTGGGCATCAGTGAAAGTCGACCTCGTCGAATTTCTTGAGGCAGGCTTGGCGAATGATGATGACAATGGTCTGAGAGATATAGCAGTGCATTTGATCGCCATCAACAAATCTTTTGAAGTTCTATGAAATGGAGAAAGATCAGACAATAAGCACAGGAACGAAGATCATTAATATTAAAAGTAGCCATGCTCTCAGTGTTCCTCTGCTATGCGAATTATCAGTTGTATTTAGACCTCGTGGAGTTCATTTCTAGGGCTTTCAACAGTGCTGTCAGAAAATAATGCATAAAGTTCGATGACACGTCCGGCTAAAGAACCAATAGGCGCTGAAGACGAACTGAGTTCCAGTCGATTCTGTTCGGATGAGGCGAACAATGCGGAGAGATAATGACATGTGAGGTAAGGTTCCGCGGGAACGGTAGCGACAGTCATTCCTCCGTTGCAAGTCCCACGGCCGGATGAAAAAAGGGAAGTTCTGGGGATCATGGCAAAGTCTCCTTTAATTCTTAAACACCTGCTCTTTTTAGTATTGACTATGTCGAACGTCATACCGGCTCAGTGATCGCCCAGGATTCTAGGTGTTGCACAGGCTGTTGGATAACTTGGATAACCGCGGCGACTAAAATCTGCTGTACCACTTCAGGCAACTGGCGGCGTAGCATAACCGGAGATTCGCATGAAGAAGACGAAGACACGAGTCAGGATTTAAAGCTATATGTGTTTTGAAGGGAAAAGGCGCAAGGGTCAAATATATGGAGGGAGTCTGCGCCAGACTCCGTTTGTTCTGCTGCTGAGGCTCAGACTCTGGCACAGGATCGGGAACACTTAAAGCCCTGTCTGATGCGTCTGCTTCCGCGACCCAAAAAGAGAAGAGGTCAAGGAAGATGAAGATCAAGAAGAAAAAGAAGAAGAAGGGTGAAGAGGATATACGGTTAGGTAAGGTTCTGGAGGTAAAAAATTCAACTGAAAACAAATCCGAGAAAAAATTGAATTCTGAATTCGACCCGCCTCAAGCTCCGATGGAACGGTTCGAGCAGAGAATGGAAAGGTGCTCAAATCGTGTCTCTCTTGTGAACCGGTCACCGGCCGCAGATGCACCGAAGGAGAGTAAAGCAAAACATGATTCCAACAAGTTGATTTTCGTCGCAGCAGCTGACGCCGTGCAGCGAAAAGCTGACTTGTATTTCGAACGGGTTGAACGTCGTTTTCAACATGGGCGAGTTCGTTGTTTAAGGCTCCAGATTGATAATAATAAGTGCCAAACGGAGATGTATGATTTGGAGTCATTTTCACTACTGGACAAAGGACAAGAGGCACACAGGAACGAAGAGGGCGACGATTTGATGACAGCTCGATAGATACGTCATCGAGCTACAGCGTTCGACCTTCGTCTGAATGCAGAGAGCTGCACGCGGTTCACAATGACTAGGAGACGTGGCTTACCTTTTCCATTACTTGACGCAAAGAAAAGTGCCGCCAGCGTCAGCAGGAATGTCGTGCCACGTGCCATCGATGGAAGGTCTATCCGAGACAGTGCCGAAAGGCCAGTCGCCGCCTAAAATCTGTCAAAAAGTAGAACACTAAGATTCGCTTCGCAAAACTTGATATCAGCGCAGAACGGGAGTGCAAAATTTCGACACTTTTTCTCGCCGCAATTGTGTGTGAGAGTATAAATCACCACCGGTACGCATTCGACCAATGACAGTGACGGAAGACCCGAAATTCCCAACATATTTCCTGCAGCTGTCAAAAGGCGATTGGTCGTAAATACGCCTGAGAGGCGTGCAAATTTTACACATCATCGAATAATGATGTGCATGTTTCTTTAGGCGGAAACCGGAGGTGATTTGATCAGTAGCAAGGGTGAGACGCACATATGCCTATCACAATAGGATACGTCAGTCGACTAGGTCTCAACTACTGTGAGGTTCGAAGGCACTCAAAGGTGGCTGTTGTAAATCCACC